AAAGATTTTAACATTTAATATCTTATTACTATCATAAATCTATTGCCTCAATAATAATAAATCCATTGAATTCAACATGACAATTGTCTTGTGTTTCTCAAATATGTTTAAAGAGCACGTCTGCCCAGACTTAGTACGTCCCAGCTCCAACAACGTTAAGTTAACGAGAAAATTTTCGTCTAAAATTGAATCGTAGATCCTTGAAAAAGTGATCTCAACATAATTGATTTACATCGCTGGAAAAGAAACAAAAAATGTTAGATGGGAGATCTACTTTAGTGATCTCTGGAAAAGGCTCAAAGAGATGATCCTATAAACTGTTATTTTTTTTTAAATTTCGAATAGTGTGTAGGGACTGAAGTGAATCGTTGTATTAAATAAATATTTAAAAAATGTTATTAATTGATTAATGAATTTTTATAATAATTTTTTTACAATATATATTAAAGTTCGCTATTAGTTAAATCAAGATTTTAACATTTAATATCTTATTACTATCATAAATATATTGCCTCAATAATAATAAATAATAATAAAATCTCTAATTTTATATTAGGCCGCCGAATATAATTTTTAATGTTAAATGTATAAAAGTAAAAAATATGTTAGTTTCATATTAACTTCTGACTTTAATTAATTAATATATATGTGTGATATATTTTATATCTATATTTGAAAAAAATGAACACAAGCATTTTAAAAGTATTTGTTTTGTTCTTTTAAAATGATCTCTAACTTCTTATTGTAAATTCTTTGTTATTTATTTCGAATAGTGTGTAGGGACTGAAATGACTGTAAGGGACTGAACTGAAATTTTTATAACAATTTTTTTTATTATTTTATTTTTTTTTTAAGAAAATGATTGAAAGAACAATTGAATGTTTGGTTAGAATGAATGGTTAGTTAGTTTGGAGAACAATGATTATTAATAATTAGAATTTCATTGATATTATTTATACTAGGAATATAAATGAAATAAGTAATTTAAAAAAATAGTTTATTATAAAGTAAAATTAAAAATAAAGTTAAATAAAATTAATTAAATGCCTCAAACATAGCATATTTATGTAAGGTATGATTTATTAAGTTTAAGATTTTTAATATATTTGTGATTTGATATATTTTTTCCTCTTTTATCCACATTTTCATAGCCCATCTTCCTGGCCTAGGGAACAAATATTTTTGAGGTCGGAGGAACGTCAGAGGTCGGAGTTAAATAATAGATGGCCTGTCCCTTGATAGGGCTAGGCTGCTTGCTATTCCGCCCAAGCACGGGGCCAATATACTGCCCAACTAGCTCCCAGCAAAATTTATCTTCGAAAAATGCATTGGGGGTGGCTTTGGTCAGTTTTGTTGTTGCAAAAAGCATCTCTGTCTTCATTTAGTCTGTCTAGTGGGACTTTATGAAGCTGGTAGGATCCCCATTCTGGAATTTCATTTTAGCACTCGCTTTACTAAGTGGTTGTAGGGTTCTAATTCATTGTTTTGCTTAAATAATTGAACGAAATGTATTTTAGGGAAATGTTTAAGGATTTTGGAATTTAATTTTCTGTCATCAGTAAATGGTTTTTAAAGATTAGCTTTCATATAATTTTCTTTTTTTTCCCCTACGTTATAGTAGGTAATCTTACAAGATTATTCTAGAGGCGATTCATATTACTAAGAATAATAAAATACTTAATATTTATTTATTCTAAATAGTAATTACTTTAAGAGTTCTTCAAAGACAGTGAAAACAATACATAAAATCTATGTTTTTTTTTTTATCATCGGTCTATATCAAAAAGCATAACGCCAATGACCCTTATACCAAATAAATAAATTACTTTCCCCTTATATAATTAAGAGTTCGTAATATTTCTAAAACCAAATTAAAAAAAAAAAAATATGTTACAAAGATAAAATGGAAATTGAAAAACAATTGTCCAAAAATAATGTTTAAGTAGTCCTTAAATTCCTATTCGGGAAAGAGCAGGTGGGTAATCCTAGGAACAATTTTGATTTTCTTTTTTTTTTTTTTTATTGAGTATTACAACAATCAGTCTCTTGAATATTGGTTATAGTGAGGTAGAATAACATTCACACTATATGTACAAAAAATATAAAATAAGTAGAAGCAAAATAATAATCAAAAGTATATACAATAAATAATAAAATAAAAGAACCTAAAACTAAGAAAGTTAAAACTAAGCAAAAAAAAACAAAAAAACACATGCATACATATATACACTATTTACAATCATGCGAGGGAACTTCAGGAGAACCCTGCGCTACACTCTCAACCGCATCACTGGTACTAAAGCCAGCAGAGATTGGTCGTGAATTTTGCTTTTAGGGATTATTCTTTATTTATTTTATTTTTTTTTTACATATACCTAGGTTTGGTACGCTGTACGCTGTAAGCGGGTTATAACTCAAAATAGGGTGACAGAGACAGAGGACTTAGGCGTTGCCTGGCAACCTGATAATTTTAAAATTACGAGTTCGAGACGAGTTCGGTACTAGATGACTTTAACTCTGGCATTAATTTCCCGCTCTCTCCTTCCCTCTCCCCTAAAAATTGTTTAAATATTTAGCTCCATCACTGAAACAAATTTGGAATACCTGATGGATATAAAACTTATTTTTCTATTTAGGAGGGAGAGGTTGTTCGGTCCGAAATCTACACCACTCTTCATTGATCCGTCAACACAGACACGTTATTTCATTTATCTCATTTTTATCTTAACATAATGGACCATATTGGCCTGATCGTAGACGTTCGTATGCACATAGTTATTTAATTGACACTGGCAGCTCTAACACAATACTTGCCTATCCCTACTTTGAAAAGAAGTGACGTTATAATTAGTTAATATTAATAATTAATTGCCGAAACCCATCTGTGCTTCCTGTGCTCGGGATTCCCAGAGCAGCAACAAGACCATAGATTATACATGGCCGCTACTGTCAGACAGCGTCACTCGCGTCATTAGACACTTACCGGACCCCGAGAGCAAACGACAGGCGATGTTAATTATCGTCGCTGCCGCTAATGCGATAATTTGGGCCTAATGGCCGCCCTGCGTTCCGGGCCGTTGCCGCGCCAGCCCGCTCCGTCCCATCCTCTCTTTGCGAACCTCTATCGGCCCGCTTCCATTAATATTTGCTTTGTAATTAAAGGATCTGGATGGTTCAGGAAATTTCATTGTGTCGATTTATGTTGAATGATGTTGCTCTAAAGAAAAATTAGGAAATATTTGAAAGTTGTTGGTTTGTTTGTAATGTATGAGTTTTTTATATTGATATATTAAAAAAAAACACAATTCTGACAACAAAACAAAATTATTATTATTTAGTGCTCAAGGTAGTATCCTGGGTCCTATGCTTTACACAGTTTATACAGCTGACATCCCAACCCATCCTGACACTGTCATCACCACAAATGCTGATGATACATGTGTCCAATCTGTTAATAATGATCAATCAACTGCATCCCAATCTCTCCGATCTCATATCACAAACCTTGAAGAATGGTGTAAAAACTAATATTGGTGTAATAATTCCTCTCTTATCCCAGTTGAACAAATCCGTTACCGAGGACTCCACCTGGACAAACGGCTCGTATGGAATCCTCATACAAGACTGAAACGACAAGAAACCGCTCGACGTTTCCGACTACTCCAACACTTACTAGACAAACGCTCTAAGCTTTCAATCAATTACAAACGACTCATATATATGACAATAATAAGACCTATTTGGACTTACGTAATTGAGCTTTGGGGCTCCACTAAGCCATCGAATTTCTCTCGTATCCAATCCTTCGTAAAATCTTCAACGCTCCTTACTTTGTCACAAATAAAATCATCCATAAAGATCTTAATGTTCCATATGTTTCCGATTTGGCCCAATCCAGAAACCCATCCTTCCATAACAAACTCCATAACCATCCGAACCCCCTCTTTCAAACCATGCTTCCTCCTCGATCCCTGATTACCCTCCGAGGCGTCTGAAAAGAAGATGGCCTCGTGATCTACTTATGTAAACATATTATTAGAGTGCTACCAATGGGTAGTTTCTCAACAAGCGTTTTCATGTGATTGTGTTATTAGTGTGTGCATATTTACTATTTGTATTTTTTATAATACAGTTGTAAATATCAATGAATAAAAAAATATATATATTTAGGGAAATTAGTTAATAGTTTCCCCATAAATATTATACCCAGATTCATCCTTCAGATCATGATATTTTCTTGAGAAAAAGAAGAAAATTCCTCAAACAATGACGCCCAAGAACACATCACAATTAATCTAAAAGGGTATTACAGTACAGTGCTAATTAATTAGATAGATAGATAAAAAATATTGGACAATTTTCTTGGACAAAGTCTCTTGGGAATAACAAAATCGTACAAAAATAATAGATTAATTCTTTGCCTATGCTTTGGAACAATGAAACAAATAAAAATAATGAACAGCTGCCAATGAACAGCACTAAATTTTTATGATAAATGGCATAGAATTACTGCATGATGTCAAAGGGTCAGCACGTATATGACTGTTTTGGGGACAGGAATTGGAATAGGAGAGTATTAAACGTGGATATTGAAAGGGAAGGAATTACAGAAATTGACACAGCGGGCAAAAAAGGAGTTTTGAAATGAGGCAGATTTGTCAGAAACAGTTTAAAAAAAAGTAATATTCATATCATGCCTTGTAATATAATTATAAATATGCTGTTTACTTAGTCACCTTATGTAATTGAGCAGGATAATATGAAAAGGTAATGGTATAACCTCTCAAGTGCATTTATGAATTTCAATAAATCATAAATATTGTTTTATTTGTATTCTAAATAAATATTATAAACATCAAACATTTAATGTAAGGATAATAACTGTATTTGTGAATTCATTCTCCTATCTTGTTTGTTACCTTACGTTTCAGATGTTGTTTGTGATGTGTTTGTGACCTATTACTGAATACCGCCGTAAACCTGGGTTTTGATACCAAAACCTACTTTCCTGTATAACCCTCGTTATCAACGGCTCTCATCTCGATAATTACTCCTCGAGCTAATTCCGAGGTTTCCTTTGTGGGCGGATGAGTGCAGCATTGATTCGCTGTAGCTTTGAAGACCGTTACGAACCAGCGAGCAGTGAAGAACCCTCGGCCTGGAAGGAAATCTTCAGTCCGGTCTCTCCCTTCAAAAACAGCAGAGGGCCCCCGCTCCAAAAACAGCCCGCTAACGACAAGTGGCATTAGCATTCTCCAGTGGACAGTGGGGCATATTAATGACAATATTTGAATAATTGACGGTTGTCCACCGCTGGCTACCCATCCTCTCGATCCATTTACATAATACCCCCTCTCGGTCTTGGGCATTTTTCTTGTCTGCTCGAGTCGCGGGCTACGGGTAATTAGTGGAGGTATCGTATATTTGGAGGAGGGACGTCTTCCTGTCTCAGGAGATGGTAATAAATTGGTATGAATTAGGAAACTTTGATGGGAAACAGATCCGGGTGTATTCTAACCAGAAATATAGAGGAAATTGCAAAAGCGGCTCTTAATTCCTTCATTAATTTATAGAATTAGCTCTGACATAGAACGAAAATCATGAAATATAAAATACCTTTTGTATTTCCATTTATTCTAATAAACAAAATAAAATAAAATAAATAATTATTGATATTAACTTACAAGGCCCAATTATAATCTCTCTTTATTAATGAATTTATATTTTATCTTGAGTTTTAACTGAATGAGTCTGAAACCTAACTTATACGAAAGGAAATTATAAAAATTCAATAATATTAGAATTTAAATTTTTATATACCGTTATATTTTGAAATAGTTACGGAAGCGCATTAAAGAAAAATACTAATATTAATGATTTGATAAAAACTTTATTTCATTTCTTAGTTTTTGGTTAGTAATCAAGAACTATTCGCCAACCCGCTAGGGTAAATGCAGAATGTTATAAAACAAATAAATAAAAACTATCTAAATTTTTTAATTATAATAAATCCACAGGCGTTGTTTTATAGATTTTACAAAACGTATTTTTACTAATAAAAGTAATTTTATATATATATATATATATATATATATATATATATATATATATATATATATATATATATATATATATATATATATATATATATTTAACATGTAATCATTTTCAAAATGTTAGTGCTTTTATATTAGATTACCTCCAAGTTTACTGTTATTTGGATAAAATCTGTAACTGAAATAAATGTGTAATGTTTCCATTCTTAATTTTTTAATTAAAATTATTTATTATATTTATAATCCGTCAATTTGCCATTGGAATTAGAATAAATTCTGTTCAATAAAAAAATATTATTACTTGTACATGCTGAAACATGGAAGCTGTTGCCATAAAAACTTGGTGTTTAGGATATACATTTTGTTTTTTTAATATCAATAATTCAACTCATTTTTATAAATCTTTATATACATAGTTTAAAAAAAAATTAACTAATAAAGTTGGCCTTATAATATATATTAGTCCGTCGTACATACTAATTCTCATCAAATTATCATTTTTATCCATTATATCATCAAATTATTCTAAATAATTTTTATTTTAATTCAAAAGTGTATGTGATCCATTTTTTTAGAAAAAAATTCTTCTTAAGGTGTTTTAAATATATCTGATTTACCCATTTTTGTATTAAAAATAAATAGGATCTTGCATACTGAAGTGCGATATTTTATTTCGATCATGCATGTATACGCTTGCAATTTATATTTTCTGAGGTTCGCATGGTCGGTAATGCTTTCTGATCAAGGAAGTTAAGTTCGTTAGCTTAAATCCCCGTCGCCATGCAAGAATACTCGTAACGGTATAAGATCCTAGAGTAATTTCGCTACAAGGAATATCTGTCATGGTGATTTATGTATTGTCGCCGGATTGGAATCCGTGGAGACTTGCTCTAATTTCTTGAATAAATTTGTTGGTGCATTAGGAACCGTGTGGATGCGCTGTGCCGGGGTAGATTGTGGTCAGGCACCGCCCGTAAATCAAAACTCAGGCAAGCCCTCCCCTGCCTCTTGTCAAACTCACTGTCACCTCGGCAAACATACTAATTCTCAAACCCTTCCCTTCGTCTACCGCTGTATTTTATCCATTCCTTAAAGTTTTTGTCAATTAAATTATATTTAATATAACACAACTATTTGTTACAAATCGTCGGTTTTATAGTCGGCTTATTGCAAATATTCATTAATTGGCATTTCATAACCTTAAATCACTAAGAATTTTGCTGCATTTTCTCTTTGTGAAATCGAAAATTATGGACTTGTAGTACATTTTACATTTTATTTATAAAAGGATTTGTGTCGTTTTAGTAAGTTTATTGTTGTTTTTTCATAAATAAAGTCGAAATTAACAAAAACATTTTTAAAAGTTCAGCTCAATGGAAAACATATTTAGTGACTTTTTTCAATTAACCGATGATGTGCCATTTGATTTATCAGTTTCTGATACAATATATATATCTACTGATATATTTTTCTTAATATTAATACTATTGATGTATTATTCTTAATATTTTTATAGGCATCAATAAACATATTATAAGATATTGGTAAGTAGTCGGCTGATCAATTAGAAGGATGAAACAAAATTATCAGGAATTTCGGTCATGATACTTTTATTGGGTTAGCCAAATACCTTGACTGAAATTCGTGACAATTTCGTTTCAAACATTTTATAAATTTTTAATTTACAATAAATGAGTTTTAATACCTACCAATTTGTGCATAATGATGATTCTAATATTTTATATTTTTTATGTATAATTAAAAAATTAAATTAAAAATACAGAAGAATTATTTATGAGTATGACACAAGCTGAAGAATATGTGCTCGGTGGAATTTTTTTTTTCATTTATTGCTTTTTTTTTTTAGTAATGAATAAATCTATCAGATATCTAAATCTGGCTAAATTTTAAATATTTTAAAAATAGTTACTATGAATATCCAACAATTTTAGTACATTTGATTAAAACCCATCGCTTTATTATCTCCATCAAATGTTTAGGATCACATACACAATATAATCGATGTGGCCTTCACACAACTATTCATTATTATTGTCAATTTTTCTATATTTTAATTTATTCTGCTTTTTTTTTTATATTTGAATAACCGAATCAAATGGTGTATGTTCGTTTAGATTCATTTGGATGGATAGATAGCAGGGGATATTTTTGTTCGGCGAATATTGAAATTAATAAGTGTTGGAGTAGCTTAATGGGACAAAGACTAAAAGGTTTAAAAAATTATAATTTATACAGTCCGTAAAAATTAAGGAAAAAGGGAGGTGTGTCGATGGGAATCGAATGACCTTTACTTTGTTAATATAACTCGATCAGTAGCTGCGAGGTGATTGAAATTGACCTACCAAACTGTTCGCCTAGGTGGAGATTGAAACCATCAATAAGAAGAGCATTTTCTGATTAAGGCTTTGATGGGATTCAGTGGACGAGGTATTTTGGTTACAATCGTTTTTAATATCCTCATTCGCAGACAAGTTTTGTTTTTATGCAGGGGTGGGTGTCCATCTGCATTGTACTTGTTTTGATCTTATCCATGTTTCCTGTTTTGATAGTTCCAAATTGTCTCCAAAATGTTTCCAAATTGGACCCTCACAAAAAAAAAACAAAAAAAAAACATACTTCATTACCTCGTAAAAATATGTTCCTCACACATATTTTGATATACCTTGGCATACAACCACCTTTCGAACATCCGTGTTTTTAAATTTAAATATATATAATTACTACAATATAATTTGTTTAATCACCTAATTATGCTTTTCTGCTTATTTTTATTTTCCTTGTGCTTTACAGTTTAAACTTAGCCTAAGCGGATTGGATTATTGTTTTTATCATTGAATAAAACCGTCATTTATAACCTGGATTATTATGTTCATCTCACAAATTTATTATTTTTTACCGTTCACTATTATATATATGTACCACCTCATACGAGAAAGATTAAAACTTCATGAAGAATCTAATTTGCTGAAATGAAAAGTTGGATCGTGGACCCTTGCACACAACACGAAGTGTTTTCAACAACAAAGATTTATCGCTTTTGCAGATAATGGGGAACAAGGAGGAAAAAAAAAATGTGCTACATAAATCCAGGAAGCACTTATATTTTGAAATCAGGTAATGCGAAAAGTTTCATGCTTTTAAAAGCACTTGCCATAAAAATACATTAAGATGACACACGAGGCGTAAAGGGAGAGTCAGGAGAGTAATGGTGTGTGTACGTGGTAATGGGTCCAGCATTAAACTATAACAGCGTACTCGGGAGTTGTGATGCGGATGTTTTTAAAAAATGCAATCTGTTCTAGAACGTTCATGAGCAGGTGGTTATTTCTGCTCCAACTACTTCATGAATTACGGATATTAGTCTGATGTGCTACGTTTGATTGTTCTCAATAATTAGAACGCGAATGTTTAATTTTGTAATTCGCTTTAAATTACCTAATTTAGTTCATAAATTCCTCATGAATTTGTCCGCGATAATGGCTTAATCCTATCGTAGCCTACAACTTTTTTTATTCATGAAAATTCTCGGAAATAGATCGTTTTCAATCTGGAGGTCACCAAATTTTTTCTATTAAATGTGGCACTAAAATATCATGAGGGCCCATTCGCTTTCCAGTTGAAACATTCGATCACAAAATCTAGAAAAAAGGAGTAGGAAAAATGTTAAGCCGTTCGGAGTGATCTCCACCTCCAAGTCAAAATATGGAGGTTAAGATATTTTTTTAGGCCACCTTTATTCTCGATTTCATTATCAAACTACCTTAATATTCAGGTGGAAAGCAAATGGTATTGATGAGTTTTTATTACCTCATTAAATTGATTTATTAAATGACCCATTTATGAAGATTTTCGTAGATATAAGTTGAAATATACAAGATGAAGCCATTCACTGAGTGATTGAGGGGTGTTAATAATTTGATAAAAATGGTTCTGCACCGCTAATTAAATTAACCAGGTCAATCGAAGCTGAGGCAAAGGATAGTAAATATTGCAATAAAATAAAGATAAAAACTGTATTTTCTCAACATACAATGGCTTGTTAGTCAAAAACAAATGTTTAATATGTGCACGAATATTTTTTTTCCTAAAGGGGAAGGTTTAAATCCTAAAAAGGATATATACATCATGAGAATAAAAAAACTCGGAATCATAAAATAGGGGCTGCTGATGTGCAGGTATATCAATGGCTATGATATATGTGTATGGTCTTATACTCCCCACAGAGCTCCGATCTGTTTACAGCCATTTGGTTAATTAGACTGAGGGTTTGTAGGCGGGTTTTGGTCCTATCA